AGCTCCAGCTGGGAGGATTGTATACCTGGAGCTGGGGGCCGGGACTCGGAATGGTGGCCAGGTGCGGGACTGGCTTGACTAACCACGTGCGCTTAAGGGTTGCTTCCGAGAAGATAGGTGCTTGCAGAGCCTGGGAGGAGAGAGGGCTTCTGGCGGCAAAAGGGAGGAGGGCAGTACCTGGGCGGTGTCTTGAGTGGGTCTGGGGGCCTGCTTCGGAATGTGGGGTGGTGGGTAAGATATAAGCGGAGCGTCAGGCTGCGCCAGGCGCCCACCTCTTCCCGGCTACCCTCCTCCCCCAAGCTGCCTCCGCTTCCCTCGAAAAACCCGCCGCCCAGGAAACCGCTGGGGGTGCTGAGACCGCAGCCCCCCCGCCCGCCACCCCCCCCAGCGCCCCCAATGCGACCGCCCAACCCACCTGAAGGGGCCGTGGCTGCCTGGGGTCCCCGCCCGCGGGGCACCCCCCCCCCCGCCCTTCGACTCCCCCCCACACCTGCGGGCAGCACTATTTATAACTGCGCCTATTCCGGGCCTCTCGGCTGGAGCCGACTGCAGCGCAGCGCTAATCGCCGCCGGGATCTCTGTGCCCCCCAGGGCCGGGGTAGGTAAATTTAGCTTCAGGAAGCTCTGGGGAACATTTTCCAAAACTCCACGTCCCACAGCAAGTGAGACAGACCCTTCTACGCGCAGCCTTCCCCGGCCAGCCACCAGGCGGCGTAGGCTTTCTGGCTCCAAGGATCCAGCCTGCTGGGAGTTAAGAGTCGCTTCTTTGCGTTTGTTTTTTGAGACAGGGTCTCGCTAGGTATTTCAGGCTGGCCTTGTACTCACTATGTAGCCCAGGCTGGCCTTGAACTTTGGCAGTCCTCCTGCCCAAGCCTCCCGAGTGTTGGGATTACAAGCGTGCGCCATCACACCCCGCGAGGGTCGCTGCTTTGAAGCTGAAGTAGGTAAAGGGCGGAGACCTGGACCAGTGAAGGACAGCTAGAAGAATGAGACCGCCCCAAAGCTGGAGAGAACTCTGGGATCTGAGAAGCACTGAGAAAGAGGGTGGAGACTTGTGTGTATGGAGCCGGGAAATAACTCACATTTAAACGAAATTCAAATGAAGCCTCTGTTCTTGGTCGTCTGCGCTTGGTATCAACAGTGATTGCCGCACGCTTCCTCTCTGCGTGCCTCTCCGTGTTGCTGGAAAAACGTGGGATCCTGCTGCCCCTCTCTCGATCATTGTTATCATACCCAGCTTACCGCGCCCGCCTCTTCAGACCCCTCGGCCTTGACCGCTGCTCACTGCCTGCCTCTGGCACGCCGCAGAGGGTTCCACAAGCGATGTAATTCGCAGGGGAGTGCCGGATAGGAGGCCTGGACTCTTGCTGTCCTAAATGGGTTCCCTTCCAGCTCTGCTACTCGGTGTGTTCCACTCTTACCCTACCCCTTGTGGCCACTAGAGGGCCCCGGGGTGCCGAGGGGTAGGTTTGAGTTTACCCACTCCTGCTTATGACATGTACTTTCCTACAGGTTACAGTCCCAAAACCTGACTTGACTTGGGGAGACGACATTGTGGGGAAGCTTCGGTGTTTTTTTTTTATGCCCTCCTCCCCCCCCCCCCCAGGAGTAGAGAGCTGTTGGCTGGCAGAGATGGCCCGGTCTGGGTGGATTAGATAAAAAGGGCACAACTGGGGCCTCCACATAAGCCAAGAAGAAGGGAAATTTAGAGTTGAGATGAGAAGTAAGTCCATTTGGGGGGGGTTCCTTCCACACTTGCTTGCTTGGCTCCACTTGCCAACAAGCCATCTGCACTAACAAAAAAGGGAGCAGGCTAATTAAGAGGAACCCTAAATTTGATTTTTTTTTTTGAGGCAGAGAAGGGATTTTGCTGTGTTCCCCCAGGCTGGTCTAATTTCTGGGCTCATGAAATTCTCCTGCCTCAGCCTTCTGAGTGGCTAGAGCTGCAGGTGCTCAACATCATACCTGGGTAGGCCTGAATTTGAGATCTGAAAAAAATGACTTCTGCAGAGTGTGTGACTTTGGGTAAAACCTTTCAGGTCTCTGGGCTAGTTTCTTCACATTAATGTGGGGTAATTAATTACCTTTGTCCTCACTTCCCGAAGTGGACTTTTTCTTTTTCTTTTCTTTTTTGTCTTTTTGAGACAGGGTCTCACTATGCAGTTCAGGCTGGCCTTGAGCTCACTTTGTGGCGTAGGCTGGTCTCACTCACAATAACCCTCCTGCCTCTGCCTCCTGGGAGTGCTGGGATTATAGGCGTGCGCCACCACGCCTGGCCTCCTATACTCTTTAGAGTAACTCTAAAGTCTGTTCCCAGCATGATGGCCAGTGTGAGCCTTTCAAATAAAAAATCAGCTCTTTTTTTTTTTTTTAAATCAGCTCTTCTTTAACACCCTGTGGTAGTTCCTCATTAACTTAGCATAAAAGATCAAATTCTTACTTAGCTGTCCACACACACCCAGCTCACCTTTTTTCCCATAGTACCTATCACCTAATAATATCTATATATTTTAATTTGTGATACTATGGATTAAGGACAGGGCCTTCATACTCAACTACATCCTCAGTCCCTTTTTGTATTTTTTATTTTATTTTTAATTTTTTGTTACTGGGAATCAAACTCAGGACCTTGAGTTTGCCAGGCAGGTGCTTGTACCACTGAGCTATATCCCCAGCCTGTTGTGTTTTTTTTGTTTTTTTGTTTTTTTGTCTTTTTGAGACAGGGTCTCACTATGCAGTTCAGGCTGCCCTTGAACTCACTTTGTAGCCCAGGGCTGGTCTCAAACCCATGACAATCCTCTTGCCTCAGCCTCCTGAGTGCTGGGATTACAGGCATGCATCACGATGCCTGGCTGTAATTTTTATTTTCAGAAAGGGTAAATTGCTAAATTGTGCTGGCTGAACTTGAACTCCCGTTCATCTTGACTTAGTCTCTCAGAATGCTGGGGTTACAGAAGTGCACTACCACACCCAGCTCTATATACTTAAAAAAAAAAAAATCCTACAGTTTATCTTCCCACTAGAATGTAAGCTCTGCAAGTAAAGGGATATGTTTTCTTCACTGCTGTTTCCATAGCACCCAGACTGGCATATAAATGCTGAATAATGTTTGATTGGATGAATGAATAAAGGAAAGAAGATGCAGTCTTTGCATACAGTATCTCTGGAATGGGCTCCAAGACGTTGGTAATCATACTTACCTCTGAGGAGGAGAGCTTGGAGTTTGGGGGGTAGATGTAGGAAATTTCATTTTTATTTTCTTGCAGTACTAGGGTTGAGCCTAGGTGCATTCTACTACTGAGCTGCATTCCTGGCCTTTTTATGTTCAACAGCCACATTCTGCCTGTTGCCCAGGCGGGCCTTGATCTTTCTGCCTCAGCCTTCCTAGTAGCTAAAATAACTGGGATTACAGGCATGTACTGTGGAACCCAGCTGCAAACATACTTTTTAACTATTATTTATTAATTTATTTAATTTTACTATTACTTATTTTATTTTTGTCGGTTTGAGACAGAGTCTCACTGTGCAGTTCAGGCTGGCCTTGAGCTCACTTTGTAGCCCAGGCTGGTCTCGAACTCGAAACGATTCTCCTGCCTCAGCCTCCCGAGTGCTGGGGATTCAGGTGTGCGCCACCACACCCGGTCTTATTTTAGACATACTGTATATTACTTTTACAAAAAGAAAAAAGCCAATGCTAGGTGTGCTGGCATATGTCTGTTATCCCAGCATTCTGGGAGGCTGAGGCAGGAGTTCAAGTCCAGTCTGAGAAATTGTCTCAAAAAATAAAGGGCCAGGGATGTAGCTCAGTGGATGTAGCTAAGCTTGAGACCTAGAGTTCGATTCCTGGTACAAAACAAAACAAACAAACAAATCCCTAGAATTTCAAAATAAAAAAAGGGAGCTGGATGCTGTGGCTCAAACTTGTAATCCCAGCACTCGGGAGGCTGAGGCAGGAAGATCTCTGTGAGTTCAAGGCCATCCAGGGCTACATAGTGAATTGAAGGCCAGACTGCACTATAGGCTCGTTATGTATAATGGGACCCAGTCTCAAAAAAACAAAACAAAATAAAACATTTGGGTGTGATGGCTCACGCTTGTAATCTCAGCATTTAGGGGTTGAGGCCAGCCTGGACTACATAGTGAGTTCAAGGCCAGTCTGAATTACAGAGCAAGACCCTGTCTCCAAAAACAAAACAAAACAATTAAGTAAATAAGGGCTGGGGGTGTAGCTCAGTGAGAAGACCCTAGGTTCCTGGCAAATGCAAGGTCCTGAGTTCGATTCCTGATACAAAAGAAAAAAAAAACCCTAGGTTTAATCATTACTTCCAGAAAAAAAGAAAAATCCCAGAGGAAAAGCAGTTAACAAAGCAGGAAGGACTGGTCCTAGGGAGGGAAGAAGAGGCCCCCATTTATCCTCTTCTGGTCCCAGTGCCCCTGATGAGAAAGGGAGATGGGCAATAGCTGGGCCTCCAGTGGGGCCAGGGAATGCTGGGAGTGACCCCAGGGAGAGTTTGCACAAACCCATGGCTGGCTTTGAGGTTATGGGGGCTGTGTCTGGGCATGACAGGAAGCGTGAACAAGGTGACATACATGTGGCCCGACCCTTGGGAATGACTTGGAAAGCCTGGGTTGGTGGTTGCCAAGGAGAAGCAAGGGGTCAGGCTGTGTGTGTCCTGACAGAGCCACATGGTGATCACCCTGAGGAGTCTGTGTGGCCCTCTTGCTTCATGTCTGAGCTGGGAGCTCTTGCAGCTCACAGGCCTACTTCCTTTGTGAGCTGGGGATGACCTATGCTTCTCCAAGCTCCTCAGAGGCGGCAAGCTGCCTTGACCAGGTCTCCTGTCAGGGAAAGGGCTGAGTCCTCACACCCTGGGCCTCCCAGAAGGCCCTACCCAGGCTGAGCCCCTCCTCACACGCAGGTTGGGAGGAACTTGGCCTTTCTGCACCCCACCCAGGCCCAGCTAGTGCATCAGGAAATCCAGCCTTCAGGGTCTCTTCTATCCCAGACAAGCTCCTTCCCTCCTCTGCTCTTTTTCTTATTTCCATTTAGACATTTGGAACTTCGTGGCCTCAAGGCCTATTTATTTTATGTCTACTCCAGTGATTCTCAAACAGAGATCTTAGGGGCAGCCCCTTCCTGAAACTAAGAGGCATGGTAAGACCAACCATCTGGGCTGGTGGGCTTGTTGTGCCAGCGTGGAGGAGAGCCGAGTCCTGCCGCACTCTTGCTGGGGTCCTGGCCAGCAAGAGGAGGGGGCTGGGAAGGGACACCCAGAATTGAGGCAGGTCTGACAGATGGGACAACTCTAAGCAGGAGCCACACGTCACTCTTCACTCGCTCGTGGCCCATCCTTAGTCAAGCACAGCTGGTCCCAGAGTCTCGATGGGGCTACAGAACAGAATGGGGAGCTGAGAGGCAGGTTCTGCCACACATTCTGCAGCCATGCCTCCTGTCTGTTTACCCTACTTCCCACCTGAATGATGCCAGCCACGGTGCCAGTGGGGAGAAGCAGCGGCAGTTTCCGCTGCCATTAATCCAGCAGCTCCTTGATACACCAGCAGCAGAGGAGGACGTAGGCAATTTCCTTCAGGGTCCGCTGCAGGCCCTCCCACCCTGTGCCCATCTTAATGACAGGCACCCGGAGCCCGGCATCTCGAAGGACTCCTCCAAGGGAGAAGGGTAGGGCCTGGGCTAGGGGCTGGGTCCGAGGCTGCATGTGGGTGGCAGTTCCGAGCAAGGGTGTGGGAGTTGTCTTTGCTGCCTTTTATCAACGGTCCCCCTCCCCCGCAGGCCTCATGACTAGAGACAAAGGCACCAGGGTCTAGCAAAGGAAGGTTCCAGGCCTGGGAATAGGCTGAGTCAGCCCCTGTGGACAGGGATGGGGGTGGGGTTAGCAGGAAGCCTGGGCACTCCATCTTTCGTCCTCCGTACCCAGCAGCCAGGTTAGCCTTTCTTCCTCCACCCCGGTGGCGCCCTGCCTGGTGCCCCTTCCCCGTGGGTGGCACGACTCCTGCTCTCCCTATCTGGTGGGCTCTGGCTTAGGCTGATGTGGAGAATCATCCATGTGAACCACTCCCCAGCTGGTTCTACCCACCCCGCCCCCAAGTGGGCACAGCCAGAGCAGCTCAGAGCTGGCAGGGTCTGGTCTGGCCCACTTCTGCGTCCCTAGTCCCCTGAGCAGGAAAACACAGCCAGGGCAACGGGCACAGAGAAAAGCTTGGTGTATTGACAGGCAGCCCTCAGGAGGGAAGTCACATGCGCGAGTTGCGCTCCTCGTCTTCATTCTCTAGTAGGTATGCGGGGCGGTAGGTGGGGCGTCCTCCTGGGCTCAGGCACTTCAGGGCCGGGTTCTGCACCGTGTTCTCCCGACTCCCCAGGGACGTGTACCTAGAGCAGTGAGATGGAAGGCTGGCATATGCTGGGGGACCTCATCACCCCAGCACCCAACTGTCCTCCCCACTCTCCTGGCCTCACAACCTACCCTTGGTCATACAGGATACAGTAGGGGACAAAGAGCTGACGCAGGAAGTCCCAGATGTTTCTGTAGGTCCAGTCCTGAGGGGTCAGAGGCAGAAGAGTCACAAGCATTTCCCCTCCCACACCTCCCCCGCCATCTCGGGAAGGGGCCCATCTGAGGCTCCTCTGTTCCCTGGGCCCCAGAGGGAGGCTTGTTATCTGGTTCTCAGGGATATCTTGCTCTGTGCAGGCTAAGCTGTGAGACCCTTCAGCCTCTGCTCCTCTCCACTCCCAAGCTACCTCCCCTGGGGTATAATAAGCTCCAGGACAGGGAAGGGCTGTGTGTGGAAGCCAGGCTGTCAGGCAGAACATTCTCCCATAATGGAAATGATCTATGTTTGTGTTATTTACTATGGTGGTTGTTTGAGATATGGCTAATACAACTGAAGTGTTTTGTTTTTTTTGTTTGTTTGTTTGTTTTTTATAGCACTGGGTATTGAATCTAGGTCCTTTGCTAAGCTATACCTCTAGCTGCCCCCACCCTTTTTTTTTCTTCTTTTTTTTTGAGACAGTCTTGGTAAATTGTACAGGCTAGCTTCAAATTTGAAATCTTCCTGCCTCGGCCTCCCAGAGGACTGAGATTACAGGTATGTGTTGCAACGTTCAGCTGCCCAGTCCTTTAAACATTTTTTTTTATTGTACAAATGTTGTGTTGCCATTGCCGGCATGGTGGCACATGCCTATAACCTCAGCACTTGGGAGGCTGAGGCTGGAAGATCACCATGAGGTTAAGCCCAGCCTGGGCTATATAGAGAGTTCAAGCCCAGTCTGAACTATACAGTGAGACTGTCTTTTTTTTTTTTTAATTGTGAGACAGGGTTTAGCTAACTGAATTGCTAAACTGCCCTTGTCAGGCATGGTGGCACCTTCCTGTAATCCCAGCACTTGGGAGGCTGAGGGAAGACTGCCACAAGTTTAAGGCCAGGCTGAACTACATAGTGAGTCTCTGTGTTTTTTTTTTTTTTTAAACAATTGCTAAACTGCTCATGCTGGGCTCAAACTATGAATTCTCCTGCCTTAGCCTCCAGAATGCTGGTATGCACAACTGGCCCTGAATTCTTTTTTTTTTTTTTTTTTTTTTGCCTTTTTTGAGACAGGGTCTCACACTGCAGTTCTGGCTGGCCTTGAACTCAGTAATCCTTCTGCCGCAGCCTCCTAAATGCTGGGATTATAGGTATGCATCACCATGACAGCTTTTCTGAATTCTTTAACTTTTTTTCCGCGGGGGGGGGGGGGTAGCTCTTTTTAAGACAGGGTTTTGCTATGCACTTCAGGCTGGCCTTGAACTCACTTTGTAGCTGAGGCTGCCTTCCAACTCACAGTGATCCTCCTCCTGTCTCAGCCTCCCAAGTGCTGGGATTACAGGTGTGCACCACCACGCCGGACTAAAAATACATTCTAATTCAGTGGCTTTTAGTAGCTCCTATTTCATTTAAGTATATATTTTTTTGTTTGTTTGTTTGTTTTTTTTTTTTTTCCGGTACCGGGAATCGAACTCATGACCTTGTGCTTGTCAGGCAGCTGCTGTGCCGCTGAGCTAAATCCCCAGCCCCTTCACTTAAGTATGAATCAGTGGCCAGTGGCCATGATACTGGACAGTACAGGTCCAAGTCATCTGTTTAAACTCCATTCCCTTAAACCCCATGTTGCTCCCTCCCAGGCCTTCTCCATACTCCTGCCCACCTCCTGGTCCAGCCATATTGTCCTTATGACTTGGCTTTTGTCACTGAGCCCTCAGAGAAACCTTCTCTGAGCCCATATCGAGTCATCTGTCAATGACTTGGACCTGTACTGTCCATGGTAGAAAGCACAATGTATGCCACCGAGTTAGCACTCAGTAAGTGTTGGGAGGGGGTGAGTCAGCAGACAGCACTGCCTGCCTTGTGTGATGGCCCCTGCCATGCCGCAGACTCTGGCTTTTTTCTCTGGCAGCCAGGGTGTACTGGCTGACAGAGCACCAGAGGCTGAAGGCGATGAGTCCTTGTCTCATTACCAGCAGTGGGTTGATACGCATGAAAGAAGGCCAGCCGGGGTCAGTGGGACTGAAAGGGCAGAGGCTACGGGAGTAGGGGTCGGTCCTTCGGGTGCCCATCAAGACAGCTTCCAGCTGGGGGTGTCGTCTCTGCAGCTCGCCCAGGGCCTGCTTCATGTCCCCCTCGGCCTCCAGCATCTGCAGATTGTACCTTGGGAAAGAAGAGTGGAGCGGGTCAGAGCAGGGTCTGTCAAGGCCCCCTTGGGGCTCCAACCTCCAGCCCCTCGTACCTTTTGATGGTGTCCTGTAGAAACTGTTCCAGCTCAGGGAAAGGGGAGACACTGCGGATATACAGGATCTGGAGGGGTTTTGGAACATCAGGAAACTTCCTGGGGAGGGGGAGGAATCCATAGGCTCGCCAGCACAGGCAAGGGAACGGCTCCCCACAGAGCTCACTATTTCGCCTCTGGGGTGACATCCTCTGTTTCTCCCCTTTCCTTTCTAGTCCAACCGACCCACTTTCATGGGCAGCCCACTCTGGGCTCTCAGCTCTGAAACCTGAGTTTCTGTTTCTAGTGTGAGATTTCTATTAAATCTCACCTCTCTCACCAGGATAATGGTCTTTGGCCAGGGATGGTGGCAGGCACATCTCTATGAGGGCCAGACACGTGTTGGATGTCAGTAAAAATGGTGAGGAACGGAAGTGAAAGTCACCATGGCTACTTTCCTCCCCCAGCCCACCCACGCCCCCCTCTTCTCCTGGCTTGCTGGGACAGAGAACTGGGGAACAGAACAGGTGAGGGGTCTATGGGGACCCACCTCCTGGGGTGGGCTCACCTCTGCACAGCGGCATGGAAGAGGTGCAGGAGGGCGGTGCAGTCCTTGCCCCCGTTGAAGCCCAGACAGAGCTGGGTGAGGTGGTACTGAGCCAGGGCAGCCTCGATGATCTGAAGGGCGCTTGCTACCTTTTTGCCCAGAGAAGACCCTGCCATGCAGGCAGGGAGAGGCATCAGGTAGGTACACATGGCTGTCGCATGGGCCGTGCTGACCTGGATGAAAACCCTCTAGCCCCCCACAACCCGCCCGTGTTCTCTGGGTTAAATCCGAGCTTTATGCAGCCTACTGTGCCCTGCATCTGTCCTCTGCCTGCCACTCAGCTACCCCTCACCCTACTTGGGTTCAGGGTCTTTCCTCTGGGGCCAGGACTGAGGGGGGCTCTGGTTTCCTTCCATCCCCTTAAACCCCATGTTGCTCCCCTTCTAGGCCTTCTTCATACACTTGCCCACCTCCTGGTCCACCCATATCATCCCTATGACTTGGCTTTTGTCACTGAGCCCTCGGAGAAACCTTCTCTGACCCCATATCAAGGCTGACTTTCTGCTGTCCTTTTCATCACTCACATCTTTTTTTTTTTTTTTTTTTTGAGACAAGAGTCTCACTATGCAGGTCTCACTATGCAGGCTGGCCTTCAACTCACAGGTGATCTTCCTGCCTCAGCCTTCCAGAGTGCTGGGATTACATACAGGGGTGCTGGGATTACAGGCATGGGCTACCACACCTGACTCATTACTCACATCTTATGCACAATCACCTTCTTTTAAACCACTGCTTAAAAAAAGGGCAGGGTATATATTTATCCTGTTAAGCTTCTCCCCAACTCCTAGCACAGGGCTGATTAAAGCTCATCGGCACAGTGCCTGCCTGCCAAGCGCAAGGTCCTGAGTTCAATTCCCGGTACCAAAAATAAAAAAAGAATACTTATTGGTAGAATGAATGAATCAACAGCACCTATCTTCTACCTTCTCCCAGATATGTGGGAATCCAGAACAGGCCCTGTATTACTAGGCTTAGAGGGGCGCCACGGGACGAGTATGTGCTACCCTCCCCCCAGGAGGCCCCTACCTGATTTGGCCAATTTGTACACAGCCTCGCTGGCCTGCTCCACAGCATTGGGCACATAGGGGACCAGCGACCCCTGGGGCAGATGGGCAGTCAGGTAAGCCAGGCATTCCTCCACAGGCCGTTCTTCCTCGGAGTCCAGGGTCAGCTTCACCTGATAATAGTTGCTGCCCCAGTCAGGGTAGGAACCCAGGCCAAGCTTCCCTCGAAAGTGGGCCTGGGCCTTAGCCAGGATGGGAGCGATGGAGGCCTCATCAGCGGCCACATACAGCTCCCTCGAGTGGAACTGAACAGCTGTGTTCCGGAACAGGCCCTTCAGCCCCTCCAGCACCCGACGAAGCAGCTCGGGAATGCCTGGGAAGAGGTACACATTTCGGACGGAGACCAGCGGGAATCTGAAGGGATGGCCGGTGTGAGGATCTGTACCATAATGCAGGCGGGCAGAGGAGGGCACCAGCGTCAGCTTCTCCCAGCCCTCCCCTCCTAGGGCTCTGATGGCCGCTTCCAGCTCAGGGTGTGGCTTGAGCTCCTCCCCAAAGGCCTGTGCCACTGCCTCAAAGGTGACGTCATCATGTGTGGGGCCAATGCCCCCTGCAGTGAGGACATGGGTGAACCGGTCGGAGAAAGAAGTCACCTCGGCTGCAATGGTGTTTACCTCATCAGGCACAACAGAGACTCGGCAAACCCGGACCCCCAGGGACCGCAGTGTCCGGCACAGGAAGTATGTGTTGGTGTCCTGAGTGTGTCCCTAGGGGTTGGGGAAGAGACTGTGAGTGCTGTGCTGACAAATGGGCAGAGGGGAGATAGCTGCTTCTGTCTGAAGACCAGGTGCTCTGCTTTTTGGGGGATACAACTTCAGGCTGTCAAGGAGCCTTGGTGGATACAGGAGTGCGAAAATCATTTGAATGGACTCAGAGATAAAGTGACTCACCTGGGCCCCCTTCTCTGCACTTCGACCCAGGTCTCCCTTACATTCATGGGTTCAGTCATCAGTTCTGTGTGGACGACTTCGCACTTCTTCACCAGCCCTGACAGGTCTAGTCCCCTGGCTGCAAGCCTTACTGCATTGCCTCACCATATCCCTGGCAGTTGTCACTTAGGTCAAGGGCATCCCAGATGCTGTCTCTGCCAGTCAGGCCTTTCATCCTGTCAACTCTGCTTTGGAAATCTCTCTCTATCTGCTCTCAGCTGTCCCCACTGCTACCACGCGGGTCATCAGCACCTTTCACCTGGACAATGGCGAAAACCTGCTGGCCGGGCTCCCAGCCTCCAGTCACCATGTTTTGCTGTCTTTTGAGTAAACTCCCTAATGTGTCACTGTGGTTACGTCACTCTTGGCCCCAAAGCCTTTGTTGTTTTCAACTATATACAGAATAAAGTTCACGTTCCTTTTTAAATATTTGAGGTTGTCTGTGACATGTACTCTATCTTCTCTTCCAGTCTCAACTCCACTTCTCTATAGTGGCTTAGTGGTTAAAAATTTATTCTAGCTGGGTGTGGTGGTGTGAGGCAGGAGGATCGTTACAAGTTCGAGGCCAGCCTGGGCTACACAGTGAGACACTGTCTCAAAAAAAAAAAAAATGTCTAGCGTAAGGGAGAACTAGGCTGGAATCTCATCTCTGCCACTTCCAGGTACGTATGTAACACTGGCCAAGTTTCTCAACGTCTGAGCCTGTTTTGTAGTCTATTAATTGAGATCTATACGGAAAACACCAATTTGATGGAATTGGGATTTTTTTTTTTTTTTTTTTTT